TAATTATTGGCAGCATCTTCCTTGCCTGTGATGAGCTGCTCAGGGTGGAAAAACTGGTGGTAGGTGCCAGTGCGAACTTCATCAATAACTGTGGGTTCCAGGTCTACAAACACCACCCTGGGCACATGCTTGCCAGCACCAGCCTCACTGAAGAAGGTGTTAAAAGAGTCATCTCCTCCCCCAATGGTCTTGTCACTTGGCATCTGGCCATCAGGCTGGATGCCGTGCTCTAGACAGTAGAGCTACCAGCAGGCATTGCCAATCTGGACACCAGCCTGGCCAACGTGGATGGAGATGCACTCACACATTCTGACTGCGAGTTAGAAAGCAAGGACGACAGGAGTGGACAGCTGGTTCCGGTTACTGTCCCCAATAAGCTAAGAGTCGAGGTAAGTAACGCACCAATAATGTTGTGTGTGTGTTTTTTTTTTTTACAGTATTTGTCCTTGTGGGACTGAGTTAGTTCACTTAGCATAACTCTCCACTCCCTCCCAAGATAGATAGTAATTTACAAAATGATCACTCCTGCATGCTGTCTAGTGTTCCATTGTATGAATATACTACAACTTCTCAATCCATTAATTTGTGATTGGACATCTGAGCTGTTTCCATACTCTTGAAATGGTGAATAAACATTGCTATAAACATTGGTACACAAGTTTCCATTTGAGCCTCAGTTCTCATTTTCGTGGGATATATCCCAAGCAATGGAACAGCTGGGTCATATCAAATTTCTATGTTCGTTTTTTGAGGAAGTGTCAAACTGCCTTCCAGAGTGGTTAAACCATTTTATAATCCCACCAACATTGTATGAGAGTGCCTATGTCATCAGATATGCTCCAATATTTATTACTTGCTGTCCTGTTAAACTTTTCCACTGATAACTGGGGTGAGACGGTTATCTCATTGTGATTTTTATATGCATCTCTGTTATTGCTAGTGATTTGGAGGGTTTCTTTATATGGTTGTAGGCCATTTGAGTATCTTCCTCTGTGAAAATTCTTACCATGTCTTCCCCCCATTTTGTAATTGGATTATTAGACTTTTTCTTGTGAAGGCCTAGGATTATTCTATAAATTATCGTTATGAGACTCTTGCCTGAGGTAGTATTGCCAAATGTTTGTTACCAGTCAGTAGGTTTTCTTTTCACCCTGTTGGAAAAAGGTTTTGACGTGCACAAGGATTTAACTTGCAAACGGTCCCATTCGTTAATTTTATATACTCTTCAGATTCTACCTTTCTGGCTATATTTGGCAGTCTCTTTATACTCTAGACAAGGCTTCTAAACTTGATCCCAGTTTGTCTCTTATGAGTTTTATAGTTTTGGGCTTTACTCCTAAGTCTCTTATCCACCTTGAGGTGATTTTTGTGTATGGGGTGAGATGTGGATCCTGTTTAAGCAATCCAGTTTTGCCAGCACTATTTGTTGAAGAAGTTGTCATTTCTCCATTTGATAGGTTTTATTTCCTTGTTGAATATCAGTTGACCATAGAGACATGATATGTTTTTGGGTTCTCAATTCTGTTCCATATATTTATATGCCTGAGGACAAGAATTCTTACAGAAAGTCATCATCATCATCTTCCTCCTCTTCTTCTTCTTCTCCACCTCTTCTTCCTCCTCCTCCTCTTCCTCCTCTTCTTCCTCTGCTTCCTCCTTCTCCCCTCCTCCTCCTCCTCTGCTACTCTTTGTCCTCTCCCTCCTCCTCCTCTTCTCCTTTTCCTCCTCCTCCTTCTCCTTTTCCTCCTCCTACTCCTCCTCTTCTACTCCTCGTTCTCCTCCTCCTCTTACTCCTCCTCCTCCCCTGCTACTCTTTGTCCTCTCCCTCCTCCTCCTCTTCTCCTTTTCCTCCTCCTCCTCTTCTACTACTCTTCCTTCTCCTCCTCCTCTTCCACTCCTTCTCTTCCTCCTTCTCCTCAGTCTCCTCTTTCTCCTCCTCCTCCTCCTCTTTCTCCACCTCCTCCATTTTGTCCTCCTCTTCTGCTCTTCCTCCTCCTCTACTCTGCTCCTCCTCCTCCTCTACTCCTCTTCCTCCTCCTCTACTCCTTCTCCTCCCCCGCCTCCTCCTTCAACCTCCTTTTCCTCCTCTCTTCCTTCTCCTCTTCTTCTCCTCCTCTTCCTCCTCCTCCCCTTTTCCTTCTCTTCCTTCTTCTCCTCCTCTTTCTTCTCCTCTTCTATTTCTCCTCCTTCTCCTCTTCTACTCCTCTTCCTTCTCCTCTTCTACTCCTTTCCTTCTCCTCCTCTTCCTCCTCCTCCTCCTCCTCTTCCTTCTACTCCAGAAGAATGGTTGAAGCAGACACACAAGTCTGCCATTTGCCTCTATGAGATGTAATTTGAATCTCTCAGTGATATTGGTTCTATGGGATGATCACTCTAATAAGACACAGACTTTCTTGTTGCTTTTTGCCCCATCCTGCATTTTGTACTCTGAAAATAAGTCTATAAAACTTGGAGTTAAGTTGATTACAAGGTAAGCACCCACACAAAAAAATGAAGCTAAGCCCGTCGTCATTGAGTTGATTTCAACACAGATTCATGCCCATAAGTAGCACATGTAAGCTGATCTAGTTAAGTTCTTCTTATATATGTTTTTCTAACTGGTGAATACTTCTTTGGCAGATTAAACTTTGCCAAATCTTCACCACCAGGCCAACAGGCAGCATAATAACATAGATGGAGAAAAGATTGAAGTTGCTTATGATTTCATCTTGTTTGGATCCACAATTAACACCATGGCACCATGGGCACAAGCAATCAGGAAATCAAAAGATAAATTGCACTGGGAAAATGTACTGTCAAGGACCTCTCCAGAGTGTTAAAGAGAAATGATGCTATTCTAGAGATAAGATGCACTCAATCCTCAATCCAGGCCATGATTTTCTTAATTGCTTGCTAAGCATCTGAAAACTGGACAATGAATAAAGATGGCCGAAGAATCGATGACTTTCAGTTGTGGTGCTGGAGAAGATTATTCAAAATACCATGGACTTCCAAGAGAGCAACCTGGTCTGTCCTAGAGAGAGTGACATTAGGTAACTACTTGAGGCAACGATTTTCAATCTCTCTCTCACATACTTAGAAAATGTTGTTATGGGGGCCAGTGTTTGGATAAAAACACCATGTTTCAAGGGTGAAGTGTCATTGTAGGAGAGGAAGTTCCTGAATGAGATAGATTGACACTGAGACTGTAACAATTGACTGAGGTGTGTCCCTGATAATGAGGTTGACTCAGAACAGGATAAGCTTCATAGCTGTTGTTCAAAGGGTCATTGGGAGTCACAGTCTACTCCAAGATACTTAACAACAACTTTGTATTTGTAGTCTTGCTTACCAAACTGGATAAAGGTGGAGCAGATAAAGGTTTCTCCTTAATATATATATATAGTTGTTAATGTAAGGTTGTAAGAGATGGTTGTTTCCATTCAGATCTGTGTGCAGGAAAACCCAGAGTTGTGGGAGAAAAATAAAACATACATTTTTGCCAGTTATAAGGCAACGTCTTTGAAATGGAAATGTTTATTTTCCTTTTTCTTTCTGAATCTGCTTTTGCCTTAAATTTTCTCTGGGCTTTCTACAGGGAAATGTTATCCTCTCATATTTATTTCTTTGTCAGGCTATGCTGTTGTTGCTACTGTCTTCTGTCTATTAAGAACCAACTCATAGCTTATACTCCAAAAGATTGTTAGAGGCAGTAAATTGCACAGGAGATCGCCCATCCTTCTCCCATAGAGCAGCTGGAGAACCATGTTCTTTGGGATAGCAGCTCAGGTTCTTACCATTAGGCAACCAACACAAACCCAGCCAGAAACTGCAGTCAAACTCTTTCATTCTCTAATTTTCTCTGTCTCCCTCTCTACTCATTCTGCTCAGTCTTTAACTCCTCATGACTAACCTCCTAGTTAAAAGAAAATACTCTGTAACTAATACATCACACTCTTTCTTTTTTCAATCCTGATCTGCAAATAAAATATCATTTTTCCTCCTCTGATCTCAATGCAGCAGATAATTTCCCATACCATCCTCCCTCATGCTTCAAACCAATACACACCGGCAAATCTGCCAAGCTCTTATACCTTGCCCATTGCTCAAGTAACGGCCACTAGAGCTACAGGAAGTGGCATCAATAAACAAACAAAAAGGTTACAAAAGATAAGCCTACAAGCCTACACACATATATATGGATTATTTTTACTAAAATAAGTTAAAAAATTGTTTTCTTGTTCTTTTCCATAGCAGTAGTTCTATCAATCTTAAAATTTTCAGCAAGAATTCAGGGGGGAAAAAAACAACCCAAATTTAAAGAACTCTACAACTTCTAAAATTCACTAACTTAGACCTTAAGTCTCATAAGAAAAACATAAATAAATTCCCATTCCATCAAACAGTCTGCACATGCTCTTAGGGGAAAAATATTAGAAAAAGATTTAGGCCACCAAAGTAACTCAGACTAACTTTTTTTTTTTTTACTTAGTTTGTTTATTTTTCATTTCAATGAACATCTACAGAGATTTTGGAATTCCATTCCTTCATTGTTGCACCCTTCTCCCCGCACAAAGCCCTCCTCCCCCCGTTTGCTCCTCTCCTTGAAAAGCAAAAGAAAAACTCTCTCATTGGTACACAGACTAATTTTTAACTGCTGCTATTTTGATGTTCAATAATAAAAAATTGAAAGAGGACAAAATAACTAGATAAAAACCAAATAACTTAAAACTGCTATCACAGAATATCTTTTCATCCAACAAACATGCCCCAAAAAAACTCAAGCGAGGGCTTTTGTTTCCAGTGTAAAAAGCCTCATCACGTCCACATAGCCATAAATATAAAAAAAGCTTCAAGAAAGTAAAGGGACAGAAGAGAAGCCTCCTAATACGTGCTTCCAATGCAGTTCTCCTAAACACCTAGCTCAGCACTGCGCCAACTGAGTCTTGGTCACAGAAGAGCAATCAGACTGAGGAAGTCCTGGCACCCTCAGAGCCACAAGGAGTCATCAACACAATATATCACCATATGCCTGGAGAAGTATGCACGGATGTTGCTGGTAAGATAATGTAATACGTCTTCCTACTTTAAATGTTACCCGCATACTATCAATTAACTGCACTAAAGCAATTAGCAATGTTTTCTCCTTTATTGTAATCACACCCTTTCCTTGTCAAGTAATACCACTCAATGCTCTATTTCAATAGTATTCTTCATATACAACTCCATTTACATCTGCTTACAGACCAACTGAACTGAAGTCTGCATGTGTGCCTTTTTAACCTCCACCAAATCTCCAAACTTACAGAAAAATAAGTTCAAAATGTTCTGTCCGCTCATCAAAAAACAGGCCATTGTTGCCCTAGTACTCCTAAAAACAAATCTTGCAGCAGCCATACAAAAACCAACAAATTTATCTCCTCTCTCTTAGCTATCCTGGCGTCTCCCCTTCTTCAGCCCTGTTATAGTAATTTTCTTACTCTAATACTTGGTCCTTCCCTCATATGATCTATCTCTTGTTTTCTACAGGAGCAGATGAGTGCTTTTTCCAACCACACAGTCCATGAATTCCTCATATTATCTACTGGGTATCAACCATTACCCTCCATCCTCATGGCTGCCAACTCCACTGTCTAAAACCAACAGCCTTTCCCTTCTTTTAAATCATCACACCCACACAGCATGAAGTAGTTACAAAAGGGAACTTAAGTCAGCAAAAGAAAAGAAGACCCTCCTCTAGATAGATTAACACAGTGACTGCAGCAATGGGCACAGGTATGTCAGAGTTGATGAGGATGATGCAAGATAGGACTAGGTGTAGATCTATGATTAGAATAGATGATCTCTTATGAGTTGTTCTCGATTCAATGACAGCTAACAACAATGCCATTCTGTTATTACAATGCATTATCCATTACACAATCCAAATAAAAAAATAAAATTATATATGAGGTCTGAAGGTCTTTTCCTTTTCCCCCCAGAAACTATAATGTGGCTTCCACAAGGTCTTTTGAAGATCAACAATGAAAGCATATAATGATGATATAAATGCTGTGAAAACATAATAGCAAAGTCATAATGATTTGACGAGCCTCTTGCAATAACAACATATAAATTTTATTTAAAAATGTATAAAATGAGTTGAAAGAATAACTTCTTTTTTGTCATTTTTATTCAGATTTTAAAGAAAACTTATATAGAGAACTTGGATTTCCATTCAAAAGAAAATCTGCTTTAAAAATAGGATTACATTCTCAAATAAAGTGGAATTTCTCTCTGCTTTGGAAGCCTCTTCATTAACTATTCTCCAAAATTCTGGTATCCTGGTAGGAACTGCAAAGTGACAAGGAGTCCAAGATGTATTAAAAATATTTTTAAGCAATATTTGAAGCACACACTTAGCATTTTTCAAGACAAATTTATAAACTTCTGCTGACCTTTTAAGTCTGCGACAACTGCATAGGCTGTAGGACTCCACCTGCTCCAATCTCCTACTCCGTCTCGTCTCTTACAGCGCACCTGAACAACATAGGCTGCACACAGGTCTGACACCACAAGACTGGCCGACTTTGAATTTGTATCATTCACCTCAACCACCTGCAAAATAAAACACAGTATTATCCTTAACCATTGCTAAATGTATCTATCAAAATCAATCCAAAGCATACTTAAGAACACACAAAGAAAACTTTAATATTATTATGAAATTAAAAAAAACAAACTAAATTTCTGCTTCATAAAGACTCATATTAGATTCAGACTGTGAACTTTTTCAAGGTAAGAATTTACTTATCTACACTATTATTTGCTTCCCAATGACAAAGTTTAAAACTTGAAAATAACAAAAAATATTATTATAGAAATATAATTTAATAACAATTTCAAGACCATTCCTCTTCAATTTGTCATCCCAATGTAGTAATAGTTAATATTTTTTTTTTTTTGGTAAGTGTCATGACTCATAGCAATCCTACTAACAGATGTGGACCTTGCCCTACCGTGGGTCAATCTCAGCACTTCTGATACACTCAAGCCCTTTGTACAGCTACCGTGTCAATGATCTTGTTGAGGTGCTTCCTCTTTTTCTGAACTACATCTTTTTCAGTACAATGTCTTTTTTGAAGGACTTGTCCCTCTTGGCAACATGTTTAAAGTATGTGAGACAAAATTTCACCATTCCTGCCTCTAGCACCCCAGTTATACTTCCTCCTTGACAGACCTGTTTGTCTTTTTGGCAGTCCATGGGATACTCAGTACTCTTCTCAAACACCATGATCTAAAAGCATCAGTTCTTCTTCTGTTATGCTTATTCATTGCCCAGCTCTCAGATGCATAGCAAGCAACTGAAAAGACTATGGGCTGAATCAAGTGACCTTAGTCCTTAAACTGACATTGTTGCTCTTAGACACTTTGTAGAGGTCTAAATATTCCCAATGCAACATACATTTTTCTTTTTTGACTGTCAGCACCAAGCATATTGATTGTGAATCTAAGTAAAATGAAATTATTGACAACTTCAAATTTTTCTCCATCAGTCATGATACAGACTTTTTTCACTTGACATTGAGATGTAATCCATATGGAAGGCTGTAGTCTGACCATCTGCAGCAAGTCTTTCAAGTCCTGTTCACTTACAGAAAGCAAAATTGTGTCATTTCCATAGTGTGTTTGTTAATGAGTCTTCTTCCAAATCTGATATCACATTCTTCTTCATCAAGTGCAGCTTCTCTAATTATTTGTTCAGCATTTAAACTAAAAGAAATGGAAAAAGTATACAACTCTGACATACATCTTTCTTGATTTTAAATCACACTGAGTTCTTCTCTTGTTCATTTTAGACAAAAGCTTCTTAAACTTGCATAAGTGTTTTAGGATTCCTATTCTCAATATTTGCCATAGTACTTTTGTATATTCAATAAAACACATGTAAAAGTATGTCTAGCAGTTATCTGCTTTCTGGCAAGATCCATCAGATATCAGATATGATATCGTTGGAGTTAGGGCTTCTTCTGAATTCAGCTTAAATTTTTTAAATTCCCCTGTTGATATGCTGTTCCAGATGCTTTAAAAGAATCTTTAGCAAGATTTAACTTAACATGTGATATTAACTATTGTATTCAATAATTTTTGCACACTGTTGGATTGCCTTTTTTGGGAAAAGGGACAAATACGGATCTCTTCTGGTGAGTGGGCCGAGTCTTCCAAATAGTATAGGCTAGAGAGTATGTATACAACTGCATGTGTTAAAGACACAAGCATTCCATCAATTCCAGGGCCTTACTCTCAACGCCTTTGAGCTGTGGTGCTCATGGACTGCTAAGAGAACAAACAGGACCATCCTGGAAAGGGTGATCTCAGGCTGCTCCTAGGAAGCAGGGATTCTGAAGTTTCATCTGACATATTTAGGGAATGTTGCAAAAAGGAACCAGTCCTTTGAGAAGGAAGGACATCATGCTTGGAATGGTGGAGGGACTGCACAAGAGAGGAAGACCCTCAATGAGATGGATTGACTAAGTGACTTGGGTAATGGAGATAAGTGTGTTTAGAGACAATGAAATTAGCCCAAGTTAGAGTAGGTTTCAGAGCTATTGAACACAGGGCCACTATGAATCACAAGCTACTCTACAGCACTTAACAACAACAACAACAACACCTGTATAAGTTTTGGCAGATGAGTGGAGGGATAATAAAGTAAGATGCCAGAACTATAATTCGAGAGATCTCACTGGAGGAAAACAAAGCATTCTATAACAAATTTATTGACAAAAATTAATAACAAAATGGTTTCATGGTGATCTTAAAAGACCTGTAGAAAATGCTTAAATCATTTTCTATGACCCTATTGAGAAGTTCAGAAGTTCCTCCAAAAAAAGATCAATAAACAAGACATGTTCATCAAACAAACTACACAAATACTACAGGATCACTAGGAATTTGAACACACTTGACAACTACCGATTTGTTCTGAAGGAGTACTGTTGGTTTAGTACATACATGATTGGCTACTAACCAAAACCTTCAAGACTCTAGTCCACAATCCCTCTGAGAAAGAAGGATGGGCAGTCTCTTCCCACAGAGGTTTAGAGCCTCCAAAACAATGTGGAGGGTCAGCTGGAGTAAAAGTCCCCTTGACAACAGTGAGTTTGATTTGGATACAAAAAAACATGTACCAATGCTTTGGAGAAAATACAAAAAACATTTTTATATACGATACCTTCCACTGTATTTCTTTTTTATTTAAACCATAGCAAATCTGGCATTGAAGTTTATTCCTTGGAAAGTCAGGATTTTCCCAGGATATATTTAATAATCCAAAGTGAGTAGTAATTTCTGCTTTCACACTAGATGGAGGCTGGGGTTTAACTAGAAATTTAAAAAAATAAACAGTATCATTTATTAGCAATTTCAGCAATCATAATGTTTAAATGGCATTACTAAGAAGTAATAATTTTATTATAAAGCAATAAACCTCTCCAAAACTTTCTCATTCATTCTCATTTCACCCACTAAAAGTTGATATGATTGTAATAATGGTAGTATGTCTGTTTTGCAAAAAGTTTGATGGAAAAAGATCACTGTCATTCTTTAATAGTAAGATCTGACTGGAAATAGAATCACTGACTCTGCATGAGAACGCTATCCTATGATAAAATCAGCCATAAACCATCCCACAAAATACTTTAATTAATGGAAAAAGCAAATAGTTCATCGATTTCTATAGGTATGACTTTTTTTTTTATAGGTATGACTTTGAAATTCACCAGCTGCCTGTTATAATTTCTAGGTTAAGGTCAGTAAGAGTCTTTCACAGACTATAATTTGAAGAAAACAGAAGTTTAATGGCAGAAGTAGAAGCAAAGATGGCCTGAATAGTAAGTATGCTTTTTAAAATAAGTTTTTATGAATAAACACAGAAACACATCAGCAAAATGGCTAAATATTTAATAATGATAATTGCAGAAATGAAAAGAAAAAGATTTTTTTTCTCATTACCTTTTCATGTTGCTAATCTCAGAGTTAATTAATATCAAATGTTTAACTTAGAGTTGTAGTCGCTGCTTAAATTTCCCCCATGTCTTTATGTTTAAGAGGGCTGGTCTTCTTCATATTCTTGGCTCAAGGAACCTGGGAAACTAAAACAGTCCCTAGGCCAGCCTTCTTCATTTCCTAACTTGATCATAATTCCAAGCATCAACTTCATTCAAAGAATATATATATAGTACCGAATTCCTATCACATTTGTCTTATCTTACATATGAGTCTGTGAGGAAGCAGAAAAAGGGGAGAATATTCCCTGATATCCTAGATATGATGGCCTAGTAGGTAAACACTTGTGCTGCTAAATCAAAGATGACACCTCTCCAGAGACTGAAATCTGCCAATTGCTCCATAGCATAAAAATTGGCAATCTCCTCCCTTACCAACAGCATCAAAAGCTTGTTGAAAGATTAACTATGAATGGGTCTGACTCAATGGTGATCATCTAGTGAGCTACTTACCACTGGGAAAGAAGGATTTAAAGTAAAATCACTCAATTCTAACTAAAATAATGTGTTTTGGGGGAGAAAATAGATTGGGACTTTAGATTGAAAAAGTAAATGTAAAATCAAGGCATGTTTATTCTCAATTTAGAAAAATTGTGTGTTTCAATTCAAATTCAAATATGTATTTGGGAGAAAATGAGCATAGACCAAATCTTGACTTTTGCCTATAAAATAGTGCATAGTGTTCTGGCATGTAAGGAACCGGAGTGCCAAATCAAAGGCAGGCAGTTAAAATCCACTAGCTGTTCTATGGGAGAAAGGCGAGCCATCTCCCATGCAGGTTACAGCCTCTGAAAACCTGCTGGAGGGTAAAGTTGGCTCTGACTCGACGTCAATGAGTTGAGGTGAAGGAATACCAAATTGCATTATTTCACTGATATTACATACACACACACACACACACACACACACATATCATGAATGGGTCATTTTTTTCAGCATTCATATTGAGAGTAGAGGGGTATAACAAGAACTAAGAGGACTCTTAGTTCATCTCTCTTTTGAAAAGAATATTTTAAACATCATAATAGTTATCTCTTTATTATTTTTCACTTCATTTCATTTTACTTATTTTGAATGCTTCGGATTTCCTACAAAAGCTCCTATTTTTAAAGACTTGGCTAATACTCTTCCTACTACAAAAATCTTATAATATTCAGATAAAATGTTAATAAGATTAAGAATACAAAATGATTTCATAAACTTATTGGTAAAATAATATACAAATATTCTGACTATTTAGAATATCATTACCAACTTTCATTCATAGTGACTAATGTATTGTTAAATTATTGTGAGTGAGAGCTGCCTCTGACTTGCACTCCAGTGATGGCAACCTAATGTACCAACAAGATCAGATCATCGTGGGCCACAGGGTTTGCAGTGGCTGATTGTAGTCTCTCTCGGTCTGGAAGCTCTGAAGTAAGCAACATGTTCAGCCTCTACTGTTAATCAGGTGGTGGCTGTGCTTGAGGTACATCGACTGAAAATGGTACCCAGGTCTCCCACACAGAAGGGAAAAAGTCTACCACCGAACCATCTCTGCCTTCTACTTGTGAGATAGCATGCTGAAAATTTCCTTATCACAGCAAAGATGTACTATGAATTCTCTTTAATAAAATCAAAACAAAACAACAATTAAAACTTTCTATGATGAATTTTTCTTTTTTCACAATCCCAGTGTAAACAGGACCACTTCTACCCTGTCCCTCTCCCCAGCCACAATTTCTAGTGTGCTCAGAGAATAGTAAAATACAACAGTACCCCTGAGTTATCTCCATGGACGTACAGAAATGAGAAGGAAGACACACAATGCAGTTTGACGTACCCACAGTCTGAGGAACAACACATGTTGGTTGTGAGTCAAATGAACCTAAAGAGTGATTGACATTAATCCACATTGTATAGCTAGATGATAGAGAGAATGGCTGAAATATGCATTCATAATATCCATCACTCTGCAAATGGCAATCTTTGGGTTCAGATATGGGATGAATTGTCGGGGAGTCAGGACAAGAGAGTGTGCTCCTTAAAAGGTAATTAAAAAAATAACAAATTAAAATACAATATTAATAAAAGTAATTAGATTAATTTTTTGAAACTTCTACCTTTGTTGCTTAAAATAGTTTTGCCTATATTAAAAAATGGATTTTTGCATAATAAACTACAATATTAATTCTATCAAAATTGAAGGCTTTTAATAAAAAGAAACAGCAATATTTATTAAATATAAGATATTAATATAAGTGTAGATACAATTGAAATAAAAAGCATTGTTCTAACAAGGAGATAATGATTCAAGTAGAACCAACAACACTTTGAAAGTGAAATTAATATCTATGCATGATCATTCTTAAGAATATTGCAAATTAAATTCCACCACAAATTGAGAATATAATTGACAATAAATGACAGATTAACAGTATTCGAATACTTTCTAATTTAAATAAAAAACCATAAAATAATGTGAATATTGAGTGTATATATAAACTATTTTGTTAAGCACATTATTAATTTTCTTGGAGAAGAAAACATGTTTGTTGAGTTGCAAAGAACCCTCTGGTTCAGAACATACAAAGTATTTCTCTTCATCTTTAAAATAACTTTCTGCCACTATATGATTTTTAAATGAATAAAGTAGCAGTGACTGACAAACGGAATCTTAGGGCACAGGAAAAAAGAAAGAGGGTTGTTATATTGAGAGATCCTAACCTATGTCACAAAAGAAATCATGTATAAATTTAGTGGGAAATTAATATACTTTCTAAATTTGCACCCAAATTGAAACTAAAAAAAAAAGAGAAAATCCTCTGCACCCCGTAAGCAGTGATTTGTCCCATTCCTTCTTCTACTTGTCCTTAGTAAAAACTAATCAACAGTGGGGACTTTTTTTGGGGGGAAGCTGTATTAACAATTTCCAGAGAGACAGAGTAAAGGCATTAGCAGTAGATATAAAAATCTAGATCCTCTGACACGCATTCAATTTGTTACCAAAGACTTGTTTTCTATTTATTCAAAATTATAATCATAACTGCATATAAATGGATATTATAGAGATATAACTGAGGGATGAGACATATTTTATCTGTTGGACATAAGAACATCAACTTTATATAGATAGAAACATCCATGTAGAATCTAAAAGTATCATAATTATTATCATAACAGCTACCATCATTGAACTTTTGCTATAATAAGATGTCACTCAATTCTAATCACACAAAATGTAGCACTTAATCCTCATGGAAATCCTGTCTTCTTTTATTTCTCCATTTTATAGATTAATAAATTGAAATTTAGAGAGGTTAAGAAATTTGCTCAAGTATATGAAGCTAGCTTCTGGATTCTTCTGTAAATGTTAGTTAGATTTTTAAGGCAAAGAACTTTAGATCCACACAAACAAAAACCTTAAACAATTCATTTTAAATGTATTGTGTGTTTTTTTGTATTTTTAAGTAAGTGTCATGGATATAAAACAAAGGATATTTTAAAAGTAAAATGGCATAGCATGAACACACTCTTGGTTTAGGATGAAAGTATGTAAGAAATATAGAAAATGCTTTCTTGGTGGGTCAGTTGAGAGTAGTAAGTTCTGACTCAATGGCACTAAACAACAATGACAACATAAGAATAGACAGACAATCTTGGGAAGAAAATTCATTATTTGGTGGTAATAATTTATTTTTTCAGGTAGGAAAATACTAGATTTTAAGAATGGACAAATTGTACTAACCAAAAGGCTCAAATACAAACACACACAGTGGAAAAGTGTTTGAGATCACTCTTCATACTTGAAAAGTGGATTTTAAAAATGAAAAGGAAAAGAAAAGTATGTATCTTCTCCTAATCAAGGACAACATTATTTCAGATAAAACTATGTATAGGGAAGGAAATACTACAGCAAAGGAGTATTTTGCCAAAAAATGTTGTTCACTGCCATGAAGTTAACTCACAGCTGACCCCTGAGGGGGTTTTCAGAAGCTGTAAATTACAAGGGAAGAGGCTGCACATCTTTCTTTCATAGAGGAGCTGGTGGATTCGAACTGCTTGCCCTTGGTTGACAGTACAGCTGTTTATCCACTAGCCCACCAGAGTACCTCACTTTTAAAATGGAGAAGAATAACTATAGATAACATCAATTACTACTCATCAGAATAGGAATTTTCTCCTCTTCCTCAAATGGCCTCCCTTAATTCTAAAGCTGACATACTAATCTTCAACAACTCTCACTGTAGATGATTTCGAAATTCCTCAACTTGCCTAGGACTCTGGAAAGTCATTCACAGGCTTACAATTTCCATCTTTCAAAATCCAGGTTTTTGAAAAATTTTAGCCAGATATTATTAGGTTTTTATAATCCTTATTCATCTTTGTATATAATTCAAATGGGTCTAAATTCATTTTTATTATGTTGGATTCAAGAGTTAAAGTGTGATGATAGAAACTTAATTGATTACCAGAAAAAGAATATAGTTAGGAAATGATACTATTCTTTTACCTCAATGTAAATCCTTTTCAAAATTTAATTTAATCCTTCAATTCTTTTACCAATTAAATATAGGCTTACCTTCGTTTTTCAGGAAGAAAATAGGCAAGAATGAAATTATAGTTCATTTCTACAGAAAACTTTATCTCACTCTTATCAAATTCAGCAGAATAAAACTGTGAAAGTAATACATACCTATGATACCTCAACTGCAAAGTACTTCTCTCAAGTGATTTGATTGTATTGGGTGACCATCTACAAGTCATTTCAGTTACATTTACACTCGTTTCACATGATATAGTGATGTTGGTATCTATTTAAAACACATTAAAATATTAATACAGCACAAAAATACCAAAAATATTTTAATGTATGTTTATTATGTCATAAATGGGACTCCAAAACAGAATCCATAATTAAAACATAAGTTGTGAACCAAAATGAACAAAACCTCTGTATCCTTACCGATCACGTATAACTCAGCATAGCGATGGGAGCAAGTTCCATTACTACAGCAGTACAATGCATCAAAGTCGAACCATCCTTGACGTTTTGTTGCATTCAAATTGTAAAGAGTAACTTTACTAACATGATCATTGATAATGCTGTACTGTCTTTCAGGAATTTCCTGAGCCAAATTAATCCACCAGACAACATCTTTAGAAGAAACAATCTTGCTGTCATTTGTATAGATGCAGTGAAAAGAAGCATTAGATCCAACACTTGTCACAATTTTAGATGGGTAGTATATGACGTCTGTAAAGGGAGGGGAAAGGGCAGGATATCAGAGAGACATTAAAAAAAAGCAAAAAAAAAACAACCACACCCTTCTTTTAAGCAATTTTTACTATTTAACAAAAGCTTTACAATACATTCCAGGATTCTATTTCCAAAACCAAATCGTGTAAAGAGACCAAGTAGCTCTATAATTCCCTGTTTATGTACAGTTAGTTAATGTCCCTAGTATCTTACAACCCTGCTGAAAATGAAGACCTGAATGAATGACTGATGAAAATCAAAGGGACCCTCTGTATTGACTAAACCTGAACATAAATAAAACAAAAATCCTCACAACCAAGCCAGTAAACAATATTAGAAAAATAGAGAAATGGCAGGAGTTGTATAACTCACTATACATGGACCCACAATCAACACCCTTGAAAACAGCAGTCAAGAAATCAAGTGAAACCTTACAATGGGCAGACCTGCACTAAAGAGAAAGGATGGCATTTTGAGCACTAAGATGCTCAGGACCTAAACCACAGTATTGCCAGTAACTTCATATCCATGTGATAGTTGGCTAGCTAGGAGGGGCTGTTTCTTGAAAAGAGACCTGATGCTTGGAAGGGTGGAGGGTCTGTGAAGGAGAGGAAGACCCTTAGCCAAGTGGATTGACATGGTAACTGTAGCAATGGACACAGTGTCAGGGAGTGTGAGGATGGCACAGGAAAGGACGTAGTTCAGATCCACTGTTCATAAGGTCGCTCTGAAGACACCTAACAACAACTACAACAGCAACAACAAACCTTTGTAGAGTCAATAAAACACATTGTCTTAATAGATTATGTCAATTGCCTGGCATCAACTCTTAAAACAAATCCCAGTGAAAGAAAAGGGGGCTGTATTTTGGGTACCAATGCCTAATTTGAATATATGGAAAGTCTAATAAGCAGGTAAAAAATAAGATAAAAATATAAAACTTATGAGTTGTTAAATAAATGGTGGCTATAAAAATGGGGGAAACGTTAAGTCCTGATTTGTAAAATAATTTTAGATTATTTAAAGTCAATATAACTAAAGAAACCACATGACTTTGGAAGTGCAATGCAGCTTCTTACCACTAGAACATCAAAGTACTTCTTGCTGTTGTTGTTTGTTGTTAGGTGCCATCAAGTTGTAGATGACTCAGCGACCCCATGAACAAAATGCCTGAGCACTGTTGATAGATTTTCCGGAGGCAAGACATTTCGGATGTGGATAGCACTTCTATTTCCAAGCTTGTTTTAATCAGTAAGCTCCATCAAACACTGTCCACCATGGGTAACCATTATCACATTTGGCACATAGGATTGAATAAAGGGGGAGTAGGTTTTTATATGTGATTTTTTTTAAGTGTGTGTGTGTGTGTGTGTGTGTGTGTGTGTGTACCATCAAATTGGATCTGACTGGTGCAGTAGGAGACTGCCCCTCCTTCTCCAGCAGAGCATCTGGTGGATTTGAACTGTATATCTCTGGTATTGAAGTGTAGCTTCTTGCCACTAGGCCACCAGAGCTCCCTGTATATGTGATTTTTCTAAGAGCCTGAATACTATTCCAAACTACTTTTCCAGTCGTAAATGTTGAGAATTTGGTTTGCCTGTTTTGTTTTGTTTTGTTTTTCCCTTCTTCTTTTCCCCCATGAGGAACAATTATAATAATAGAAAAATTAAGTGATTGTTTACGGCAGAAAAAATCATTATCTGTCATAATGCATATGAATATAATAGCTTATTTCAATATTGAACAATTTCAAAGGAACCATTTTCTGATAGAAATTATATTACTCTATTTTTGCACATATAGTATGTATTATCTCTGGGGGGGAACCAAATAAATTCATCATTTTTTATTTTTATTCTGCAACTGCCCTGGACTGCTAAGAAAACAAACAGGTTCATCCTTGAGAGGGTTAAACCTCTCTGCTCTTTGGAGACAAACATTCTGAGGCTTTGTCTGACATACTTTGGACATGTTGTAAGGAGGGACCAGTCCTTGGAGAAGGACATCATGCTTGGGAGTGTGGAGGGACAACGCAGGAGAGGAAGGCCCTCTATGAGGTGGATTGATTCAGTGACTGGAGCAATCGGGATGGGTGTAGCTGAGACAGTGTGATTGGCACAGGACAGGACAGAGTTTAGGGCTGTTGTACATAGGGTCGCTATGAGTTGCAAGCAACTTGATGGAACATAACAACAACATGCTAAACTCCAATGTCTACTTTTATAATACATTCAAAAAGTTTTGCTTTATATTTCTAAAGTCAAATAGATGTAGAAAAAAATTGGAGCGGGAGCTACCTGACGGATACAAGTTCAAAATTAATGGGCTTAATTGAGCATAATTTTAGCACGAGGTGGTACTCAAGCTTCATTTATACATTGCCATTGCAAGTAAATAGCTAATACAGACAGGAAAGACTGCTGACCTGACTTCAATACCTTATTACCTAACTTAACTTCAAAAATTCTCAAAAAGAAATTTTTAGGAAAGGTAAGTGTGTTTTCCTTAATTAAGGTGAAGCTTTTCATTTTAAAGTCTAAATTCCCAAAACAATTTTATTGCAAAACCACATGTAAGGTTTAGTTCATACAGCATTTTGCTGAGTGAACTCAGTCCATGAGGACATATTCTGTAAAATAGAAGGGTGACTAGTACAATGTGTAGTGGGATACAATGGGAAAAGGAGTGGGAGCAGTAGGATGAGGGTGGGATATGGGGAAATACAGTCTCACAATT